ATGAAATCCCAGGGAATACTTGTTTTGCAGTGTCTTGTTTTGATAACTAGTTATAAACTTCTGAATAGCTAGAGTGATGTTAAACCCCTACTCACTTCTCTTTAGGAGAGAATTATGATAGGCTTATTTAACAGGTCTGAGTCTAGAAGTTGTTTTCCGTCTTAAGCAACACAATGTTAATTCCTCAAATTAAGAAAAAAAAATACTCCATGCTTATTATTTCCTATTATGCGTAGTATATAGTCTTTACACAAAATGCTGGGGACCATGTTTTTTATTCACCTACAAGCTAACTTCAGTATGTTAGGAAAATCATCAGTTCTCACCGAGGACCTTCTGGCTCCATTTTAGAACAGTTTCCCTTTATTGATTTTCACATTTATGTGTGGACTGAGGGATGAGACTGGAGAATTACCAAAGGGATCTCAAGAAAGTTTAGTTTAAACTTAATCATGAGGGCAAAGGGGAGGAGGTTGTATCACTTAATGATTGTTATATAAGAAACTACCCCCAAATTTAGTAACTTTAAAACACCAACCATTTATGACAATTCTTTGGACTAAGGTCAGCTTGGGTGTGGGAGGCCACGGTAAGGCTTGAGACGAGAACCAAACCAGGCCCTGACTTGTGCCTCCTTTAAAGGCTGTATAGCCCACCAAAAGGCTTAGGTCGATAAAGTCGAGTAGCACTGAGAAAGGGTCTGTGCTATGTGTTGTGCGCTCGCCTACGTGACTTCCCACACGTTTGCTAGTCAGATAGAGACGATTTGGCCGGGGTTAGAAATTCTTGGCTGGTCCTTGCTGTCCTTGCACAGGCTATAGACTACACCACTGTAAGACGGTGCTGTGCTTACATAAACTATGTCTTGAGTAGCCTTGAAGTCAGTACATCTGGCGCTAGAGGGTCTGCTATTGGTGCTTGGGAAATAGATAATGGGAAAGCTTGAAGGATTTTCTGTGCATGTTGCAAACTCTTTAGTAATCAGCTAAAAATAGATACTTATGATTGTTTCTGTTAGCTATAAAATGCCTCACAGCCTTGAATAAAATTGGCACTATTGGACATCCTCCTTGGTGCTCCTCCTGCCCCCATCTCTTTGTCTCTTAATTTCTTTTCAGCATCCTCTTACCCTCTCGACCCTGGTCGATTTGTCATGCCGGCCGCGACACTTGGGGTTCTTCACTGGATTTGTGTGGAGTCACTCATGCTTCCATAGTCATCTTCAGGCTTGATGGAGTTGGGTGATCTTAGACAGCCTTGTTCCTCTGCCAGGCAGCTGGTAATGGCTGTTCTTGCTGGTTGGTCCAGGTGGCCTCAATAGGGAGGACTTCATATGCTTTCCTCCTCCTGTACCTATAAGTCATTTCCATGTGGTCTTGAAGGCCTCTGGAGGCCTAGTTTCAGAAGTCCATATTGTCACTTCACCTGACATCTGTTGGTTTATTGTTAAGCCAGCCCAGATCGAGGGAAGTGGAGAAATAGACTCCACCTTTTGATGGCATAGACAGCACAGTCATATTGCAAAAAGATTATATGCACAGAAATTCAGAATTTGTAGCTCAGTTTTTGTAGTCTTCTGCAGGTGTCATATGTTGACATATGTATTTTAGAACGATCACTCTGTGGTATCAAGAAAGATTCGGAGAAGGCAGGGAAGAGAAATCAAGGTAGAGTGAAGAGGCCATTGCAGTCATCGGTGGGAGAGATAGTAGGAATGAATAAAGTCATCACCACATACTTATCTTCTAAACATCTCAACATGTTCCGTACTTATTTATAAAAGGGCAAATGGAGAGACAAGCCATTGAACTGATCCAGAGGCTGCACTAGATCAGGCTCAACTGGAAATTTGTTAAAGTTTTTCTCATTACCTCAGATAATTTTAAGTGAGAAAGTTGTGATACTTTTTTTCATCAGCATACTGGCCACCAAGAACTTGAGAAGAATTGGAAGGAAAAGCAGATTTATTTTTGTTACCTTCTTATGTCCAGTTGCCCACACCATACCAAGGCCTGCCTGCCTATCATAGTACATTTCTCTTATGTATCACAGGTATTGACTAGTAATAGTTGATAGTTCAATTAAAGTAATTTAGGTAGAGGTGAGAATAAGAAAGTGTTTTTATTTTAGAAGAGGTGTTTGTTAAACAATTTCTAATTGATACATCTAAGCATATAATATGTAAACAAAAAGGTAGCATTGTCTGGTTTTTTGCAGGGTGTTAAAATAGCATAATATCCTAAAAATATATCACACAGTTTAAAGTGTGTGTCTATTCCTATGTTTAATCAGCATTGCCATCACATGTATCTCTATCCCAGTGGTCTCCATAAATAGAGCTTCATTGCCTAGGAAAAAGCACCAAACCGTGGAAGCTGCAAATGAGAAATAGAGCTGCTTTCTTTGGCTTCCTGTTGTGTGCATTTTCAGAGTTTCGTGAGATTCTTATATGCATGATGCTTAATTAATAAAATGAATGATTCAAGAGCAATTGACATTCTCGTCCAGTGTTCGGAAGCAATTGTTTTTTATAGTGTGTGGTTGGTGACTATCAGAATTTTTACCCAAATAGCTGGGAATTATTAATGTATATAGGCTCATTTACTTTTTTAAAAATTATTTTTTGCTACCACTTCTACATTTTTTTCTGTAGATTTTAAAACAGATTCCAAACATACTCTCATTTCACAAATACATTACTGTGTATCGCTAAGAGATAAGGATCTTTTAAAAGACACACCTTACTTCAAAACCATTATTACAAAGAGTATAATTCTTTAGTATCAGCTAATATCCAGTCCATTTTCAAATTTCCATGATTGTCTCAGAATTCTTTTTTCCAGGTAGTTTGAGTCAAACCCCAGAGTCACACAGTATTGCTTTTGGTTAATATTTCTTAAATTTCTTTTACTCTGTATACTAACATCATTCTCCCTCCTTTTTCTTTTTTTCTTTGCCCATATCATTTCCTTGTTGAAGAGACTGGAACATCTGCTTAAAAAATTTTTCCACATTTTGGGTTTTGCTGTTTAAAGGATCAGAGAAAAGATATTAGTCTCTGAAGAAGAGATCCTTCTTCCATCTCCTATATTTTGTGGAGTGCTTATTACTATAGTGGGGTGAAAGGAGGGCTATTTGGACACATCATCGAACAAAGACAAAAATCCTTTCCTTCCTAGCATTTAAATTACCATTCCATGGGCAGTAGACAAAAATGAATCATAAAGTTTGTTGGAAATCCTCTAGAAAACGGTAAGAGTATAACAAGGGGATAGGGAGGTGTGGGACCTTGTTGGACAAGTGGGATGTGGGGCTGAATGCCCTGGAAGTCTAAGAGGGCAGAGCAGAGGAGTTGCCAGGATCTGATTTACGTTTAAATGGGGGCACTGCTGCTGCTGTGCAGTGGGTGAAAGGGAAAGGGTAGAAAGCTACTCTGTAACCTGGGCAAGAGATGGTAGAGGATTAGATAGAGGGCAGTGCGGGGAGAGCCAAGGATGAAGGCCAAGTTTCTGTCTCTATCAGCTAGAATGATTTAATGCGGAGGGTCTCAGAAGGCTTAATCACGGGAAGAGGCTGATTAGTTACTGCCATTTCCGTTCACTATTCTGTTGGTAAAGGACTACTGAAAACTAGTGCTTTTTGAAGGTTATGTTCACGGCCTTTTGTTTTGGAGGGGTTGACTTGTTAGATGCTTAAATATTTTCTCTTTTAAATTTTGTAAAATGCTTTCTGTTTTTGCCTCATTTAATGGCATTTTAAAGTCCTTTTCATTGGACATTGTGAAAATTTAGAAATTTACAAGTTTGAATTTTTAATAACATTTGTTCTTGGCTCTTTGAAATTTTTCAAAACTACAAAAAATTAAAAGAAAAATTATATTCCCTTCATCTAAATTCAGCAGTTAACATTTTTGACATTTGCTTTAGGAAATATGTTTGTTTTTGGTTTTTTGTTGTTGGTTTGGTTTGTTTTTGTTTTTTCAGCCAAATCATTTGGCAATAAGTTGTAGACATCAAGAACACCCATGTGATTATCTAATATAAAGTCCATATTCATATTTTATCCTTTTGTTCCCTTCTCCTCCAGGATCCAGTCCAGGATCCCCCCATTTTGTTGTTGTGACTCTTGCCTCCTTCAATATGTATGAGTCTCCTGACCTTTACTTTCATCTTTTATGACATTTTTAAGGAGATTCCATGCCTGTTATATTATAGAATGTCCCACAATCTGGATTTGTCTGATCATTTCCTTACGATTAGATTCCAGTGAAATGATGCAGATTTACTTCTACCTTTTAAAGACTTAAAAATATAAACATGGGAATAGTGAGGGGTTTACAGTCTTCTGCAAACATCACTTCCAGTTACTACCAAGTGGTAGCAAGGGGCCTAATCTTGTAATAAGCATTGTCACAGAATCAGCATTAAGTTGGAGGGAATTTTAGATTTATCTCCAGAAGTCATAAACTGCAGACGACTAGCAGAATAGACATGGTCTTAAAATGTAACAGAAACAGAAGGCTGGATTTTTACCCCCATGTATGGACTGTATGCATGGACTGTGTTTTCCTTATTGTTCTTCCTCCCCCATCATTTAAATCATCTGTGCTGCTTCTGAAGCTTTTGAGCAGATGATCCATATGCCCCCTCTCTCTACATAGCTAGAGAAACCTGGCTTAGAAAGGCCAAGTTGCTGAGGAACACACAATTAGGAAGAGACAGAATAGTCAGGTGTTGGAACCCCAGTCTCTTGAAGATCCATTTGAGTCTCAACCAAAGCTCAGTTGTTTGCATTGATGGGACAAATGAAAAGTTTATAACTTTGGCACCTTCTGTGGTTAGGCAAGGAATGCCTAATGCCCCAGAATGAAGTTTTATCATATAAGTAGGTCCTAAGTTTATTTTATACAACATTTATTTTGTGTGTTAGATACCATTTTAGCAAAATGGATTTCTTTCATCTCACTACTATTTTTCATAATAACTTTCTTCCTTTTTTAGCTACAAGGCTTTGGCAGACCAAGTGTATACCATGCTGCTATTGTCATCTTCCTAGAATTCTTTGCGTGGGGCTTGTTGACAACTCCAATGTTAACTGTAAGTATTGCTGAACAGGTCCTTGTTTATGAAAGCAAAACAGAGGTTCTTAAGCATGTATCTCAGGGCCAAATGTTTAGGTATGTGTTTGAGAGACTCTCTTGATAGCGATTTGAAACCGCTTCTTCCACTGGGTTGTTTGCACTGTGTGCACAGACTGTGAACTACCTGTAGCAAAATGCCTGGGCTGTACTTTAAGTATTCTTGGGTAGCAAGGCCCTCCCGCGGACCCAGAATCTTGGAAGTGCTGTGAGTGAACTGTAGGTATTTAGGAAGATGCACTAGGGGAAATTATTGCAAAGTTTTGTTGAACTTACACTTACTTTGTGTGGATGTAATGGCCTTTGACTAAGAACATAGTAAATAGATTGGTAAGTACCTTGTAACAGTGAAAGTGATCATTGTTAAGAATGTTCAGATTTCCATATTTGGTAGCTGACAGACCTATAGCCACTTTTGCTGAGGCTGCACTGAATTTCTTAGCAAGACCCTCAATGTTTGATATATGTTGTGGTTAGAGGAAGGGAGATGTGTAAGAAAGGATTGGCATGTCGATTTTGGGTGCTTAATTACTATTTTATTTTGTTTTTTAAAAGGTTTTATTTATTTGAATGAGAAAGTGCATCTGCACATGCGTACAGGAGCAGATCGAGGAGCAGAGGGAAAGAGAGAATTCCAAGCAAATTCTATGCTGAGGACAGAGCCCCAGACAGGGCTCAATTTCAGGACCCTGAGATCACAACCTGAGCCAAAATCAAGAGTCAGATACTTACTTGACTGAGCCACCCAGGCATACCCCAATCACTAACAATTATACTAAAGATATTTTTAAATTGAAGAAAAAGATATTTTTCAATTGGCCTTATATTTCAGTTGTCTTAAATTGTTCTTTAAATATCATTGCTGGTTAACTCTTCCCAATCACCATGTTGCCATGCCAGAGAATCCCTTTGGATACAGATGAACTTTGTTCCAAAATTAGCTTCAGAAAATAGGGAACTTTAAAGAGGCTGTTAGCCTCACATAAGACTTTGCTATTTTTATTCTTCTGGTGCATTTAAAATGAAATTTGATTAATTAAAATGACAGCTTGAATGGAATAGTCAAAAGATTGCCTGTGTTTTTAAACCTCTGTTTTATTCTTTCTCATTACGCTACCTTTTCCTTCCTGATGCTTTACTACAGAAGATAATTGGTTATTAGTTAATGGGGTAGGTGGTCCCCATTTTAAGTTCACGAGCCTGCTGTGTTCACCACTGTTTGGACTGCCTATGACACACTTAGTGCTCAGGAGATGTTTTCTTTGAATAATAGGAATATGCATTGTAGGCTCACATGTGTGTCCTTGAGGGATTGTTTCTTTGAGATGTATTTTCAGTATGAATATAGACATACCAGGCTACTCATTGTAAGGAAATACGTTATTTAATTTTTGGTCTTAACTCTCTGACTCTGTCCATGTCCGTCCCCTGTGTCTATTCCCTGCACACTCCTGCCCCCGCTTATGTGTTAAGCGTCTTTTTTTTTTTTTTTTTTTTTTTTTTTTTTTTTTTAATTTGACAGAGAGAAGGAGATCACAAGCAGGCAGAGTGGCAGGCAGTGAGAGAGGAGGAAACCCGCTCCTTGCTGAGCAGAGAGCCCAATGCGGGCCTCGATCCCAGGACCCTGTAAACATGACCTGAGCCTAAGGCAGAGGCTTAACCCACTGAGCCACCCAGGTGCGCTGTTAAGCATTTAAATAGTATTTTTCTAAGGCAACCAGAAATCTCCTATAGTGGTTCAGCAGGTTTCTCAATATGGAGTTAATCCTATAATCATGCTCTGGTAAGAATTCAAAGTGAAGTGAAGAACAACTTAATGTCTTTGAGGCCTTGTTAGAAATTCTAAAACCACTTTCCAGACAGTTAAAATCTTTGGGGACCTTTTTGGCCCTAGACCAGATTGTCAGATCTCTTTTAGTTTTAATTAATTAATTTTAGTATACATCCAAAGACTGATGTGCCTTTCTTCCTACTGCCCAATGCAGATAATTTTCCTAGGGGTTCTTTGTCCTCGTTAGACCCTCGAATGCAGCCTTAGAAACCAGCTAAAATGCTGCTTTATTTCCTCTTTGCAGTTTCTGAGCAGTTTTGCTGCTTGCAAAGATTTGGTTAAAATAAACATGTGTGAGGAGTACAGGGTTGCTGGCATCACTCTGACACACTATATTGTCATAGAAGAAGTGTTGCTGAGTTAATAGGTGGGTTCATTCTCTTTTTTTCTGAGCTCTTGGTGTTGCTAAATTAAGCTGAATGTCCTTTACTGTCCTATCTCAGCCTTTACACTACAGTTTGCTACCTCTGTTTCTGTTTTGGCCGGGGTGGTTCCTTCCTCCTTTGAGGGGGAAGAGTCCCATATTTTAAAGAAAAAAAGATTATCTCTGGCATATCCCCTCTACTTTCTGCCTTTTCTGGTTGGACAGAGAACTGATAATGTTAGGTTGTTTGATAAGGAAAGGATAAAATTAGGGTTTATTTTATTACAGTAGGAGTTCATTTATCCTCTTCTTTTTTTCTTTTTTTGAAGATTTTACTTATTTATTTGCCAGAGAGTGAGATCGCAAGTAGGCAGAGAGGCACGCAGAGGGAGAGGTGGAAGCAGGCTCCCTGCCGAGCGGAGAGCCCAATGTGGGACTCGATCCCAGGACCCGGAGATCATGACCTGAGCTGAAGGCAGAGGTTTAACCCACTGAGCCACTCAGGTGCCCCTATCCTTTTATGTTGGGGTTTACTATTGTCATATAAGTAGTTCTTGGCATCCTGCATCTGTCACCCACTTTGGTGTAACTATTAGAATGATGGTTCATGTGTGGGTTTTTTCCATGCTATAACTAGTGGACAGCACTCTGTCCTATTTCCTTCAGGTGAGAAAAACAGTCTGATAAGGATATGGAGATACAGAACAGTACCTGCATATTAATATTTTGTCCAACCTGTCTGCATCCTAGCACTCAGTAGAAGTGGTCTGTTTGAAGTAGTATAGAATTGGAGACTTTCCAAGATGGCGGAGAAGTAGGAGACCTTAGTTTTGTCTGGTCACAGGAATTCAGCTAGATTGCTATCAGATCATTCTGAACACCTGTGAACTCATCTGAGATCTAAGAAAAGAATTGCTCCAGTTCTACAAATAGAAAAGTGATCACTTTCTTCAAGAATGACAAGATGGAAAAGCTCACCTCAAAAAAGAACAAGAGACAGTACTGACAGCCAGAGACCTAATCATTATGGATATAAAAGTAAGATGTCAGAACTAGAGTGTGGAATAATGATTATAGAGATACTAGCTGGCTCGAAGAAAGCATAGAAGACACTAGAGAATCCCTCTCTGGAGAAATAAAAGAACTAACATTTAACCAAGGTGAAATAAAAAAGGCTATTAATGAGATGCAATAAAAAAAAATGGTGACTCTAACTGCTAGGTTAAATGAGACAGATGGCTGCCATTCCCATTGGAAATACGGACTTTAGCCCTGCTTATAGTCATCCCTATCCCATTGATACTTTTCTAACTAGGTCTTAGTTTGCATTCCAGGGCTTTACACAGCCCTGGTACCAAGACTGGTGGCAGGTTCCCAGTCAGTCCCTGAACGCTTGGTGCTTAGCTGGCCAGGTATTCATGGGGATGGATAAGGGCTAATTTTCTATTATGCTGGTACACAAAACAATTTGTGTTTTGACCTTGTGTCGAGTGGTTTTGCTAAATTCACTTACTAATCCTAAATGTTCATCAACAGGTTTTTACATACACATTCATATATTTTGTGAGTGACAGTTTTTAGCTCCTTCCAGTCCTTTTTATTATTCTTATTGCATTGCTATGACATCCAGTACAGTGTTGACTAGAAGCGGTCACTGTAGGCATCCTTATCTCATAGATGACCTCTGATGGAAAGTGATCTAAAATTTAAAATTCACCACTAAGTATGTTATTTGCTATAGATTTGTTTTTGCAGATATTCTTTTTCAGAGAAAGGAAGTTCCCTTCTTCCTGTTTTATTTATTTATTTGACAGAAAGATCACAAGTAGGCAGAGAGGCAGGCAGAGAGAGAGGGGGAAGCAGGCTCCCTGCTGAGCAGAGAGCCTGATGTGGGGCTCAATCCCAGGACCCTGAGATCATGACCTGAGCCGAAGGCAAGAGGCTTTAACCCACTGAGCCACCCAGGCGTCCCTATATTGATTTTTTTTTATTAAAAGATTTTACTTATTAGAGCTTGAAAAAGAAAGATTACAGGAAGGGGCGGGTAGAGGGAGAAGCAGACTTCTCCCGCTGAGCAGGGAGCCCAATGCAGAACCTGATCCCAGGAGTCCAGGTTCATGACCCAAACCGAAAGCAGACGCCTGACTGACTGAGCCACCCAGGCGCCCAGTTATATTGATTTTTTAATATTAGCCCACCCTTGCATAAATCCCACTCAGTTTTGATATATATTTATAACTGGAAGCTTGTCCTTTGCTCCCCTTCACCCATTTCATCCTCCATCCTCTGCCTCTGGCAACCATTAGTCTATTCTCTGTATCTATGAGCTTTTTTGTTTTATTTGCTTCCACGTATTAATGAGGTAATATATTTGTCTTTCTCTGTTTGACTTATTTCTCTTAGCAAAATGCCCTCAGGGTCCATTGATACTGTCTCAAGTGGCAGAATGTCCTTTTTCATGGCTGAATGATATTCCTGTGTGTGTGTGTGTCACAATTTCTTTTATTTTTAAAAATTTTATTTATTTATTTGACAGAGACAGCAGGAGAGGAAATATAAGCAGGAGAAGTGGGAGAGGGAGAAGCAGGCTTCCCATTGAGCAGGGAGCCTCACGTGGGTTTCGATCCCAGGATCATGACCTGAGCCGAAGGCAGATGCTTAGCGACTGAGCCATCCAGGCACCCCTTATTTTTTATTTTATTTTATTTTATTTTATTTTATTTATTTATTTATTTTAAATATTTTATTTATTTGACAGAGATCACAAGTAGGCAGAGAGGCAGGCAGAGAGAAAGGAGGAAGCAGGCTCCCTGCTGAGTGGAGAGCCTGATGCGGGGCCAGGACCCTGAGATCATGACCTGAGCGGAAGGCAGAGGCTTTAACCCACTGAGCCACCCAGGCGCCCCTCTTTTTTCTTTATAGCTGCTTTATTTTATGAAGACTTATCTTATTTTTATTGACTTTTGTTTTACTTCCTTATCCAGTAAGATTTAACTGCTATCTTCTCCACTTTCCCTCCAGTTAGAAAACAGAAGAGGTTTGAAAAGCACTGATTGAAAATTCTTAGAGGAACTTCTGCATCGTCTCTCACATAGCCAGATACCCCATCAGATCTCTGTAGTTTAACATACAGCCCAGTAAATGCATACTCCGTTGTTCATACATGGATACGGTTTTGCCAAATTTAAGTGGCTGTGTTCTGTTTCTGCTGCATCATCTGCACAAGTGAATGCGTGTTCTGGTCCTTTTGAGTGTAGTTGTTTTAAGGGAAGTCAGAGGACAGAGCTGGAGGCAGTGGCGGATCAACACTGGTGCCCCTTTGGCAGCGAGCAGTCAGCCCTGGAGTTGGTGTGGTATTCACCGGCACTTCCCACCTTCTGTTTCGCTCTGGCGGAAACTGAGGAAGCCTGTGAGCAAGGGGAGTCCGAGGAGTGTCTGCGCTCAGCCGCATTTCGACAGAATATATCAGAATATATAAGGTTGTGAGGCAGTGGATACCCACACCCAATGGCATGCCCAGGATCAGAGAAACATTTTTTAAAGTACATTGACTTTCTTGTGTTTTGCTGTTTCACTGTATTTTTGTGATGCATGTAACAAATGAAACTGCGAAGTAGTTCTGATATTGATTTGGATTCTGTTTTCTTTAAAGGAAATTTTATATCTCTGTACCCTATGAAGTGTTATTTTTGAGATTTTGCTGAGAACTTGAGATTTTTAACTTGAGCTATTTGCTGTCATTTATTTACTTTCTTATTTTTCCAGTACAGATAGGTAGAGTTCAGATGCCACTAGCTGAGATGACAAACCTTTTCTAAACCTTAAGAATAATCTTGTTAGGAAAAAGGTTGGAAACAATTTCTGTGAAATTGTTTCATAGCATTCGGTGCGAACTTACTGAAGTCTGTCGGTATCTTCACCCTAATCTAAGACAGCAGTGTCAGCACAAATGAGGTGAAGAAATGTAAATACTTTGTTTATTTACCTCCTTTATTCTAATTTCATTAAGTCTTCTAATTCCACACAATGAAAAGTAAGACCTACAGGACGCATCATTTTGTTGTGTGTGTCACTGTTTGTTTATAGTCACCATTTTCTTTGCTGTTTATTGTATGTTGCATCTCAGATCTTGCATCTGTATTATTTTCCTTCTTCTGGAAGTACATTATTTTATATCTCATTAGGTGGAGTCCGTAAGTTAGTAACGTACTGCTGTAAGTTTTGCTAGGTTAAAAATTGTGCTCAAAGTACATTTTAGCCAGGTATAGAATTGTAGGTTAGCATTTGTCTTTTCCCTGTTACGTTGATGGTAGGCTAGCATGCTTCTTTTCTGGGCTCCATTGTTACTGTTATGAAGACCTCTTAATTGGAGCTCAATTGAAGGCAGTCTGTATCTCTTGCTGCTTTTAGGATTTGTTGTTGTTGTTGTTGTTGTTTTTGGTTTTTTGATTTTGAGTTTGGATTTCTTTTTATATTGCTTAGAATTTATTATGCTGCTTTAATCTCTGCCCTGATATCCATCATTGGTTTAGTACATTCTCAGCCATTGCCTCCTAAAATGTTGTGTCTGCCTCATTTTCATTACAAGACAAGTTTAATTGAAATTGTGTCATATTTTCTTATAGGATCCTCTGTGTCTTTTACTTTCTCTTTATTTTTTGTCTTTTTGTCTCTCCATGCTGCATTTTGGATAGTTTTTTTTTTTTTTAAGGTTTTTATTTATTTATTTATTTGTCAGAGAGAGAGAGAGAGAGAGAGAGATTGAGAGCGAGCGAGCACAAGCAGACAGAGGCAGAGAGAGAAGCAGGCTCCCCGCCAAGCAAAGAACCCGATGTGGGACTCGATCCCAGGACTCTGGGATCATGACCTGAGCCAAAGGCAGTGGCATAACCTACTGAGCCACCCAGGCATCCCTGGATAGTTTCTTTTGACCTACTTTTGGGTTCAATAATTCTCAGCTACGTCTAATCTTGTTAAACATATCCATTGAGTGAGTTCCTAACTTGAGTCAATGTTTTTTTTCTGTTTTGGAATTTCTTTTTGTTCTTTTTAAAATCTGTGCGCTTTCTTACAGCTTCTAGTTCAAAAATTTCAAGCTTATTTTCTATATCTTGGAACATAGTAAAAAAAAATATATATATAGTATTATATATATATTTATATATATATATAAAAGATTTTATTTATTTGAGAGAGTGAGCATGCACATACCAGTGGGGGGAGGGGTAAAGGGAGAGGGGCAGGCAGACTACTTGCTGAATGAGGAGGCTGACATAGGGCTTGATCCCAAGCCCTGAGATCATGAACTGAGCCAAAGTCAGATGCTTAACCAACTGAGCTGCCTAGATGCCCTGAGCAAATTCATTTTACTTTATTTCTGTTAAGTAATTCCAGAATGTGAAGTTGTTGAGAGTCTGTTTCTATTATATACATATTCTTTGTTGCTGTTTGTTGCTCATGGTATCATATTTCCTTTTGTATCTCATTACCTTTTTTTTTTTTTTTTTTAATGCCCTGGTCATTGTATTTGAAAAACATATATGTGTGGTTGATTTGAAGCCTAGATGATGCCTTTTGAGGATTGATTTTAGATGTTTTCTGTTAGATGTCCAGAGGTGCTACAAGTTCAGAATCACTGTGATCCAAATTGAAGGCTTGGGGTTTCCTAGACTACCTAGGTCACATTGTTACGCCCGAGTTTTTGCATCTGAGAGACCACCAAGGAGCCAAGCACCGATGCAATCACAGGAAGGTTTATTTGACAAGCTTAAGCCTGGGCCCAAGTATACCCGACACAGCGGAGTAGGGACTTGGACCCCCAGCCAGATTATAGTCAGAGTTTTTAAAGGCAGAGTAGGGGTGGTTTCGGCGGTGGGTGAGGACAAAGAGGGTGTTCAGAAGGGCTATCAATGTAAAGAAGACTGTCAGGATATTGAAGGCCTGGTTACTATCAAGCCAAGGCCGTTTTTTCACCAGCATGAAGACAATTGGGAGTTTCCTGGTGGAATGTCACATTCTTGCTATCAAGCGTCCTTGTAGTTTGGGCTCTGTTATTAGGAACTGGCCGACCTGGCCTTGTATTCTGGGCTCTGTTATTAGGAACTAGCTGACCACATTTCACTGGTTTCCCAGACTTGCTTCTAAGTAAGTTTCTCGGAGGGGGGCAGGGTCAGTTTCAGTTTTACTGCACAAACAACAAAATGGCTTTTAACCAAGATGGAGTCGCTCTGGCTAAATAGGTCCTTACAACATGAACCTGCGCTGCAGGTTCATATACTTGAGCTTATGTAACCTTTTGTGGTGTACCTGCTTAAAATTGTTAGTAGTGAAAGGTGTAGCCAATTAACAATTTATGTTTGCTGCAGATGCTTTTGTAAGAAAAACACCTGAGTTCTCCTGTGTAGTTTCTTGCCTTATTTAGATTTCTGCCTCGTTTTTTATGTTTTCGTACTTTTGGATATTTTCCATATTTCACTGATACTTAAAGTGCTTTCATTCCAGGGTTCATCTTATTTACCTAACCTAATATTAACAGAGGCAAGAATACTACCTTTTAATTTGTTGTCGAGTTTTTGATGTGTGTTTGCTTTTTGTAGGTTCTACATGAAACATTTCCTCAACATACATTCCTCATGAATGGTCTCATTCAAGGTGTAAAGGTAAGAACAGTTTTTGTGTAGTTCACAAGGAACCAAAGGCAGGAATCCTTAGTAGTTTAACTCTGGAAGTTTGAATGCAAGGTGGGGAAATAATCACTATTTGTTCTTGAGACCTAAATCTAAACTTTTACTTGGATTATCAATGTCATAATGAAATACAACCCAAGTCCATAAGGCATAGAATGGTTTACTGGTAAAAGCAGTACTTCATTTTTATTAACATGTACACAGCAGTTTATAAAGAGTTTATGTGAGGCTTTTAATTCCCTATCATGTTCTTCTCTACTTTTGAGATTGACTTTGATATTGAGGAAGAAGGCAGCATCAAGATTTCATCAGCTATATAGTAGTCTTTCGTCAGAGCTTGTTTTGTGTTTTAATCAAAGCTAAGTTCTCTCGACCATGTAATTATTAATTCATTGTTTAATGTGATATTTATCAGAAAAGTTTATAAATCAGAGATTACAATAGAATGTTATGTTCCAGTCCCACTTTACAGTATGATTAGTATACAGGAATAGTGTCTAATGTTTCCCTCTCAGCTTAGACGGCATTGATCTGTGAGCTGAGGAGCACACTTCAAATTATACCCTATTTATTTATTGAATTTGCAGCTTTGAGCAGTATTATTTGTAATGAATGACATTTATTCTTTTCCTAGTTTCAAAAAGAATTTGAGAGTGCTTACAATAATGGCATTTTATTTTTTTAAAGATTTATTTATTTTAGGGAGCATGAGCAGGGGGAGGGGCAGAGGGAGAGAGAGAGAATGTCCAGCTGATTCCCCACTGAGCCTAGTGTGGCCCTATGTTTTCACTTAACCCTAGAAATACACCGAGGAGTACTAGAAATGCTGGATCATATGGTAACTTGATTGTTTTAATTAACATCTTACCTAACCCTCTCTCTGGCAAGTTATATGGGTGACTTAAGCCTTGGACAACAATTTCTTCTATCTCTACACTCACTTCCTGGATGACATTATCAGACTCACCACTTTCAGCTCTCAAATATTTCCCTAGACCTTAGACTTGCATACCCAGTTGCCTTATTGACACCTCTTTCCTTGGCTGATAAGCATCTCAAGGTCACCATGCTGATCTTCCCCTTTAGCCGGAACTGCTCTAAGCCTTCCTCATTGCGATTATTGGTCATGCCATTCTCACTCAGACCAAAATCCCTGGAGTCAGCGTTGACTCCCTTCTCTTCCCAAAACCATTCCATCAGTAGATTCCGTGGTTGTGCCTCCAAAATAGATCTATAGTGAAAACATTCTCTGGTCTCCTTTGAGTAGAGATCCCGAGAAGATAAAAGCCAGCTGTGGTCTTTTTTTTTTTTTTTAACTTTTTTTTTTTGTTTGACAGACAGAAGTCACAAGTAGGCAGAGAGACAGGCAGAGAGAGAAGGGGAAGCAGGCTCCCCGCCAAGCAGAGAGCCCGATTTGGGGCTCGATCCCAGGACCCTGGGATCATGACTTGAGCCGAAGGCAGAGGCTTTAACCCACTGAGCCACCCAGGTGCCCCAGCCAGCTGTGGTCTTAACCAATCCCATCCCCACTCAGTTGTCTCCTCTGGCATCATCCTTGTTCTCTTCTGCACTCCTGGTGACCTTTCTCTAAGCAAAGCTTCCTTTGCCTGTGCTTGCCTGAGGGTTTTGCAGGTTCTGTTTTTTTCTGCTTGATTGCTTTCCCCCCAGATACTGACCTCACTCCGTAAACCTGAGCTTTTCACCCAGATGTCATTTTTTAGTAAAGCCTTTACTGACTATTGTCTTGAAGAATGTAACCTGTTGTCATCACTTCAGTCCCTCTTCTCTGCTTTTTCTTCAAAAGCACTATAATTTCACCTCTGACATGCTATATATTTTGCTTTATGTTGTTACTGTATGTCCTTCTCGACGTTTCTCTTTTAGACTAGAACCTTCTTGAAGGCATGAATTTTTGTCTGCTTTGCTTACTGCTGTCCTCAACACCTAGAACAGTTCTTGGCAAATGACACATGTTCAGTAAATATTGTTGACTTAATATTTCTAGTCTTTTTCTACACATTTTTAAATAGTCAAGATCCAGCTTACACAGAGACTAACAATTTATCTTTGTTCTTGTATCAGCCGTCACTAATTGTATAGCATAATAATTTTTCTGTGACATTAAAAAATCATACGAAGTATAGGCAGCCCTCTTCTTGCACATGCTGGAATGCGCAGAATTCAGTTATTCAGGTTCAGCTAAAAAATTCCAATCCCTGCAACAGTACAGCTCAAATCTCCATCACCGTGGTCTGTTAACTCTGAGTAATTGCATAAAGTATGAACTGCTGCTAGCTCCTCAGTCCACTGAACACTATGTAAATCACAGGTGAACACCATCATCGGTAACCATTCGTGGCACTTCAGAATGTTGGTGACTGGTCACTGTGCATCTCTTAGTTCTTGAACAGAGAGCAAAGCATGCAGCTGTGTTGCCTCCTTGGCTCCAGTGATAAACCCCTATAACACTTTACAAAAACGGATCATTGAAAAGGAACTGGCCAACAAGAGTGGAAGTGCAGTGAAGAAGTAATCACTGATAATGCTAGAAGTGAGATTCGTGTAGAACCTCTGCAGAGTCATAGAAGAAATGGGCTGGTTGGGTGTACAGCCGAGGAACTTACTAAGATAAACTCAGCAGCATAACAGCATAAACGAGAACAGTGTGATGAAGATGTCCCTGGGAAGTGATGTCAGCAAAATGCTTCACACTGAAGGAGCTCTCAGAGATGGTATTTCATGACATTGAAAACATAAAGGACAAAACGTTGCAAGCTGATTCAAATTTAGAAAGGCATCTGACAGTTTGCCAATGCACGGAAGATACTGACTGCACTTCATATGTTATATGGCTTAGTAGGACAGCAAGCACTGTTCACGTGACTCTTGATAAGTTTTTTTTGTTTTTTTTTTTTTTTTTTTTTATTTGAGAGAGAGGCAGTGAGAGAGAGCATGAGTGAGAAGAAGGTCAGAGGGAGAAGCAGACTCCCCGTGGAGCTGGGAGCCCGATGCGGGACTCGATCCCGGGACTCCGGGATCATGACCTGAGCCGAAAGCAGTCGTCCAACCAACTGAGCCACCCAGGCGTCCCGATAAGTTTTTTATAAGGAAATAAAACACTTTATTTCCTAAGGTTTGAAATTACAATCTAAATAAATATTAGCAAATTTTTTTCTTTTCATTAGTTATTAAGAGATTAATAACATACACTGAAAGAATTATTTTAAGAAATGGACTCAGATGATTTGGAGTTAGCAAGTCTGAAATTTGTCGGGTAGGCTGAACTCAGGCAGGAGTTGATCCTATAGTCAGTCCCAAGGCAGAAGTCATTCTTCTGGAAACCTCAGCTTTTGCTCTTAAGGCCGTCAGCTAATTGGACGAGCCTCTTCCCATATTATTGAAGGTGATACCCTTTACTTTAAAAGCAACTGCAACAAAATAACCTTCACAGGAACCCCCACACTACATTTGATGAAACAACTGGGTGCTACAGCCTAGCCAAGGTGACAGCATCACAGTATTTGTAGCTACACTTTGTCAAAAATGTTACACCAGACTGAGAGCCAGGTGTGACTTGGCTGATGAAGTCTCGTTATGACTGCTGGTTGATAGCAGCAGGTGGACTGACTGTAATCGTTTTCATCATTAAAACGAATTGGTCTGATGACCTGACGTCTGCCTTGTAACTTGTTGAAACTTTTCTCTTCAGCAGCTATGTTTTATATTTATTACAAAAGTACACATATCAGTGTCCCAGACTCAGCAGGTCACGTGTCCAGGGTTGGTTTACGCCTAGAGTGATCAGTATGAAGAGGGTAGCGCTAAAGCAGGAAGTGATGATCTGGTCTAGCTTTGACATCACAGTGAAGGCTGGGGAAAGGGGAAAAGTAGAAGACCCACCAGGCCAGCTAATGGGGTGGCCGCAGGGGTTCACATGCAGATGTGCTGCTTCTCAGTCTAGACTTGACCATCAGCTTTGATTAAGGAAATGGCAAGTAGATCCTCTGCCAGGATGCTCTCCCAGGGATATTTAATAAGTCAAGTTTCTGTAGTGCCCGGAGCTGCTGCTCATCTGTCTCATTCTGCTATTTAAATGAATTAAATCAGCAATAGTAGCTTAGCATAAGTACACACGGAAACTTTTGACATTTTTTAAAGTTTATTTATTTATTTATTTGAGAGAGGGAGTGCGCACAAGTGAGGGTAGGGGCAAAGGGAGAGAGAGAATCTCAAGCAGACTCCCTCCTGAGTGTGGAGCCTGGCGCGGGGCTCCGTCTTACAACCCTGAGATCACTACCTGAGCCGAAATTGAATCAGATGCTTAACTGAATTGCCCAGGCGCTTGTTGGTTGATGTTTTTAAGAATTAAAGAGTCAAAGACAAGATATCTTTAAGATTCCCTCACGCTACTCTTTGATATTAGTAGGTACAGAACGGTTTCCCTACATACATACACATACACACACACACACAGAATAATTCTTAATTTGGACAAAAATTTAAAGATTATCCTTTTTTTTTTTTTAAAGATTCCACTTATTCATTTGACAGAGATCACAAGTAGGCAGATAGAGAGGAAGGGAAGCAGGCTCCCCACTGAGCAGGGATCCCGATTTGGGGCTCGATCCCAGGACCCTGGGATCATGACCCGAGCCGAAGGCAGAGGCTTTAACCCACTGAGCCACCCAGGCGCCCCTAAAGATTATCCTTTTTATTAAATGTAAATACAATTGTCAGACAACCTACTTGAGAAATGCTTCATGTTTTAAGTACAGACTTTTCATGATAGACTGCAAATTCATCCATTTACTAAATTAGGTGTGGGGTGCCTGGATGGCAGTCAGTGAAGCATCCAGCTCTTGGTTTCAGCTCAGGTCACGATCTCATAGTTGGGGGACAGAGCCCCGCATCAGCCTCCACACTCAGCATAGAGTCTGCCTGGGATCCTCTGTTCTTCCTATTTGTGTGCTTTC